TACAATGAAAGCCCAGCTCTTCATTCATATTGGCTTCCCTCCCCCTTCCTCTTAGGACTCATCGCTTGCCCTTCAGCATTGCCTAGACTGAGCTCAGATATTCTTTTTGTCATCTTCGTGTGTTCTTGACATGTGATGGGTGCTTACCAAATGTCTGTGATTATCAAATATTGTGGGTGGGGAGCACAAGTCAATACCTGTGTGAGACATGGATGATTCCAAGTAACTCTGCTTCTGATAGGATTTGGTTTTCTACGAGTTCAACGTTTTGTTCGTTTTTAATATTGTAATGAAATGTCCGTTTCCTGGGGGATGTGAGAAATACCAGGCTCATAACAGTTGTATGTAGCTAAGAGCAGATAGATACACAGACACTTTAAACATTTCGTCTCACCAGCTGTTCACTAGTGTGTCTGATACCTGGTCATTTTGTCTCGTTTTCCCTCAGGAAAACATCTTTATTATCTTTATTATCTCGATGAAGGAACTATCTTCAACTTTCCAGGCTCCTGGGTCGTTCTGATAACCTAGCATTTGCCAGTAGGTTCGAGGCTTTAAATTAGCTGTCCTGTCTTTTCGGATCTCTTACTTCACATATTAGAATCCCACGAGACTTTACCTTAGGGAACATACGTAGCTGCCGCCGACTGCTGTAGCGTGGCCTACAGATGTGGTTCGTCTCCCCCTCTCCTGCTTTCCCCCTTTCAAACCCCGCTCCCCACACACCTAGCGTCTAAGTAATAAGTATTCGAAGAGGTCATTTATATATTAAATTAGAATTGATGTTAACTAAATATAAGGACATTCTGCTTATAACAGTTCTTATGTCAGACAGTGTCGTTCTAAACAGGAGCAAATGAAAATAAAAGCACGGACGCCTCTGACTCATGTCCCAACGCCACTGTTGAGTCTGTTTTCTCGCACACTGAATTTCACAAGAAAGATAATGAATATACCTGTCAGGTGGTTGTTTACGCAGATCTGTTGTGCAGTACATTTGGAGATTGCTGCCTGTTACTCAGCAAAAAGATAAACTGGGGAAATGAAATGAGCAACATGAGAAAATATTATCTTTCTGATATAAATACACATAAGAGAATCAGAAATGTGAGAACTACTACGTCTTTCTAATCATGTAATTATTTGGACAACTCTCTGCCTTTGGCCTGATTACCTGTGGAAGTGCCTCTTGAGCATTAGAGAACTGACAGCTGGTATCACTTAAGTCTTTTTCTTTTGAATTCCATAATCCTATGATATTGGGGATTTATTATCTATTAAAATGGACCTAGTATCTTTTAATCTGCGGATGACTCTAGTTCAAAAGTAAATTGAATGTTGCTTGCTATATTTTCATGTCTTTCTTTGAACATATAAATTTACCTCTTTGGGCATGTAAATTTGTTGAATGAACAGTCCTTTCATAATATAATTCCTAATTATCAGCAATAAGTACCCCAGTTTCCTTTTAAAAGATTCTTTTATTCTAAACTCATTGACTCTCTCATTCTAGGTGTACTATGCAAGGTTACAAAAAAATCATTGGTTAACTTCTAAACCAAGCTGCAAGTAAGATGTAAATAGGAAACTGAACTCGAAACAACTCAAGAGAAAAAGCCATAGTTACTGATGAATGTGAACTAATATTGATTGATTTTTCCTATCTTGCTTTTGTAATTATATGAAAATGTTAGAACATTTTCCCAATTATATAATACAAAAAAATGCATTCCTCGAGTGTGAGAAAGTATGGATGTGCTCAAAAAGCAGACTTAGGGGGATATGTAAGAGGGGCACGGGAGCCACAATGATCTATGGAGAAGAGCCCGGAGCCAACCACCAGGCACCAGTGACCACCAGCACCTCCACACCTTACTACGTGCCATCTTTCTGGACCGTTGCCCACAACCAGCCCCTAGGAGCAAACACTTCTTCCTTATAGACTAATCACCTGTCCCTGAACCAGTCCCCCTCACCTTTTCCCAGCCTCTTTATCTATAGCTGGTATAGATTCTTTCAAAACAACTTACATCTTCCTTCTCCAAAGCCGAGGTGTGAAGGAGTCTGTCAACTCCAGGACCACCCACACGTTTGTCTTTCCACCTGCCCCTGCTGCTGGTAGTTAGACTGCATGCCCCACGAAGCATTTGGCTCAGTAGACCCTTTCTTTCAGAAAAGCTTTTGGCCGTGAAAGTTTTTTGTTTAATACCCCCAAAGCAGATAATCCCAAAATCATTTCTATTTAGCTTTACGAGAAGTTTCTCCTCTTAATAAGTTTCCCATTGGCTAATATAATAGTGGGTTTGCTTCTCCTATGCTGATTTGACTACCGTAAAGAAATACATGCCGAGACCTATTATTTAGTATAGGGAAACCATCCTCGAGTTAGAAGGCTCATCAGTATACACGTTAAGGTTTGATGTGTTATTCCTTCAAGGGCCTTGCTTGGGAGTCCTATGGAAAGGAAGAAAGGAACTGGGTTTGTGAGTGGAAGTAACCAAATAGGAAGTAACCAGACAGTCAAGATTTGGGAGGGGTGAGCAAAAGGTTGCAGTGAAAATGTACCTTTTTTTCCCCACAAACTATCTAGTTAAGAGCCAGAAAACAATTGAGGACAGAGGGCAGATAAAAGGGGGAACAGCGGATTTAAGTGGATGGGTTTTCAACTTAATATAAAAATGAAATTTTCAATAAATAGAGCGGT